CTACGTACAAAAAATACATAGATAGATTTGGAAAGTTAAGTATTAATTAGTAAGCCTTAGTGTACATGTCGAATAAGAAAAAAAGACTGATTTTTATATTCTTCAAGTATTTCGCAATTTTCTCTTAAGAAATAATCAAAAAATTCTAAACTAATATATTGATAATCAGTATATCAGACTCTATTCAACGATGTATGAATAAAATGAAAATTGTTCTTATTTGAATTTTTATATTAATTATATCTTACCAAAATAAGTATTTAAAATCGATAAACCATGTTGACTTTCAAGAATTTTATCATCAATATTTGAATAACGAAAATCATCAACATCATAACAAAAAAGCATTAATGGTAATAATCGACGTTCATTAAATGTAATATAACGAAGAAAAAGTCCTCCAGCTTGTTTATCTTGTCGAATAATTGTTGCATATTTTTTCATAAATCGATTATTAAATGATTGTTCAATTTCATCTTGATTATCTTGATTATTTTCATTTAAAATAATATCTTCATTTATTGTATAATCAGTTGAAAGAAATACACGTGTCATTTCAATTAAATTTGCTTTTGTACGTTGATCAATTGGATAAAGACAAACATCTGCTGGTCGTTTTGATTCAATTCGAAAATGTAATTTTGAATGATGTTGTTCAAATAATTGATGAATTATAAATCTTGCTGACCAATATATACGTAAACGACGTAAAACATCATATTGTACTTGAAGAAAAATATCATGTGTTAATATACCAGATGTATCCGAATAAGCACGACGAATTTTATTTTGTAAATGACGCATAAATGGTAAATGATATTTACCATCATTTAAATCACGAAATAGACGTGTACGTGCAACAACATTATCAATTTGATCAAGACCAACCATTGTATCTTTAAAAAATTCACAATCCATCCAAAAACGATAAAGTTCATAACCACCTTTTGTTGTTTGAAGGAAATGAACAAATGATTGCATACCTTGAAATGAACCTAAATTAAATCGATTGAGAATATATTAATGATTTCTTTTTTCTTTTGTTTTTTTTAGTAATAATTAAAAGATAAATAAAAGTTTCCAATAATGAAATTCACTGTCGATCCTTAGTTTTTCTGATGTTTCTAGATGGAAAAATTATAAACTTCTGTTCACAATAAACTATTGATAAGAAATTTGATTTGTTTTTTTTTAGTTTTCTACTATTGACAGATAGAAATATATCGAACAAAATTCACAATTTCAAATATTATCATAGAAAATCTAATGAAGGAAGGGCAACTTGGGTCGAACTTTTTTTTTTCTTCATATGCTTGACATGCACAGACCTTGAGATGTTTTCATATCACATGACTTTCTTTCCATAGACAAACACTTGAATGTTTGCACAAGTTATGTACACATTTAAAGCAACTCATACCCTGAACTAATGAAAATCACGTGAATGAGTACAATTGAAATAAAATAATAAAGGCTTTTATGCTTAAGATGAAAAAAAAATGCTGATTGTCATTGAGAATATTTGAATCTACTTACTTATATCTATTCTCTTTTTGACCTGTCTGCTACACACTTTATTATTTAAGCCTATTATGAATCGAATCATTTTAAATGTAAAATTGAAGAAAAAAAAAATCAAAACACACGGATAAGATATGCTTTAAATTAGTTTCAAGCATTACAGATATTGTTTTCATCCTTGTGACTAGAGCTCTGTAGTTCCAAAAACATGTCTTTAGAACCAGTGATTTACTGATAGTATATCAAATAACTAAAGAGTATTTTTAGAAGTTTTTATCTTTCATTTTTTGAAATTGTTGATATTTGTTATTTTATTGAAAAACCAATTTCTTCAAAAGATGAAACAAAACGAGAAAAACTGAGAAAAGGATGTAGGCATGATTGTTGATAGTCTCTTCTTCCACATTCACACCCTAGTTTCGCTTCCAACCTCTTCTATGTCACAGATCCAGTTCGATTCTTGACTCTATGTTTTTGGGAACTGAATGCTTCTAGTTATGACAGATGATGAGACCTAATGGAACATTATTATCAGTAGCTTGCGCGGGGAAGAGAGAAGGCGAACTTTTATTGTTGTCCTAGTTAAACATCTTGTGATATGCGCATGAAGTATATGAGCATCTTGAGCATTAATGTCATGTGCTATGGACACATCTTAAGGCAAGACTTGAGACCTAGGTGTTAACTCAAGCGCTTGAATTTCTTATTTTATTGCTTAACATTCTTACGCGCTTGAGTTCTTGTTCAAGCACGTGTAATTTGCTTGGATATTGATGATCTTTTCTTTTCTAACGTTTTAGATAGTTCTTCGATGTAAATATTACTAGCTATTAACTGTTTAACGTACAGAATGTATAAGAAGGATGAATGAAAAGATGGATACTATGATTGGATTTTACTGTGACGAACATCACAAAGTATTGACTACGAAAGAAACAATGAAAAATTAATGATTTAGTATATTAGATAATGCACAAAAGTTGTTTATTCAGAAAACAAAGTAAAATGGAAAATGGAAAATGGAAAATATCGTGATCGTCAAAGAACTGTGATCTATCCTTCAAAGTTGCTAGTGATTTGTAAAACTTTTCGCGCTATGATTGTAGGTATACTCTTCACCCACTCCCATCTCACTCAACAATGAAAACAATATTTGTGATTATCCTTACATGATTGAACAAGAACTCAAGTGTGTGAATAAAAATGTTAAGCAATGAAACAAGAAGTTCAAGCACCTTAGGTTGCCAAAAAGTGTCAAGATCTATCAATACTATATGACTTTCTTGTTCAAGATACTCAAATACTTCATGAGCGTGAAAAAAAATTTTGGACTATGGAATGGATTTCAATCTTTTAGAGTTCATTGAATCTAGGAAAAGGTTTTCTTTTTTTTTGACAAAAGATTTCAATAAAATAATTTAAAAGTGTTTTCCAGAGGTAGACAAGTATAATTACGTACTCGGAGTAACTGTAAAAGATGCAAACACCTCCAAATCTAAAACTGATACCATCAGTAGATTGCGCTTGTCGAGTTGATTCTACAAACACTCATATCTTTCATCAATGAGTTGGCCGACTCCACTTAGGTACATATCCCAAATATTAGGCTTTTATACAGTAGCTTTAAAAAAATTCAAGGAATGCATTTTCTTAATGTTAAGCCTTATAATTGAATATTGCATTTAATAATAGAGATCGATTGGACATGTTTTACGTGAATTATATGCAAAATTCAATTAAGATACTTCAAATTAAGACAATACATCGTTTCTATTTTTCTAAAGTTAACATATAGAAGTCTAATATTTTGAATATGTGTCTAAGCCGAATCGATCTATTCACTGGTAAAAGATATGGGTGTTCACATCTTTTACAAATATGCCTCATACTCAAAAAAATTCGCACTTATTTAGCTTTGCTATTTTTCACATTTACAAAAAACTTACCAAGATATTTATATTTAAGTTGACTACTTGAACTTTGTATTTCTAATCCAAAATCTCCTACATCATTATTTTCTTCTTCATTTTCAGCATCTTCAAAATATTTCATTTTAACACTACTATATAGTGATAAACTTCTTGGATCATTTGGATCATCTGATGAATTATTTTCATCATCTTTTGGTAATGATTTTCTTTGACTTGTTTTTGAACTTGATGATCTTTTTGACATTTTAGTTGGATATTTTGTTTGTATAGTTGGAAAAAATATTGAAAGAGAACTAACTAAAATAAATTCATAATAATAATAATAGAATTAAATAAAAATTTTAACAAATTAATTTACCCATATTAGCTGGTACAGAATAAGCTCGACTACCTGGTCTTAAAAATGCTTTTGGCATACGTAAAAGTTCCGAAACCATAATATTATTTTCAAATATCATATTTGCATTTGCATATGGATCATTTTGATCGAGATCTTGCTGTTCTTCATCTTCTTCAAGTGTTGTTGTTTGTGCCATTCCATGTCCAGTTGAATTATCTGTTGAAAGTGTTCGAGCAGCTGTATAAACACTTCTATAAAACACGAAGAAGAAAAGAAGAAAAAACAAACGAAATGAATTCTAGGTTTTTTTCTTCCTTTCTTAAATCATATTGAATAAGACTTACTGTCGACTATAACCACCAATACCTTGACTAGAATATTCTGACGGTTCATTTTCAGTAGTTAATGGCCGCAATAAAAGTTTACATAATTTATATTGTCGATAAAGTTCTGTACGCCAAAAAAGATTCAATCGTTCAGTTTTAACCCATTCCATTATTTGTACTTGATGATCTTTTTGTATATTTAAATTATTTTTATTTGTTAGTTCCGGTACATCATCTAATTGTATTAAATCCGAAAAACCACTATAAATACTATTATTATCAATTTCATTAGATTTTTTTTCATTATCATGAAGAAGATTTTCATCATTTGTATTCAATATTTTATCATGATTTTTTTCAATAAATGTATTTAATTCACGATTATATTCAATTTTTTGTACAAACGTACCCAAACGAAGAAATTCATTAAAATATTCAACAAATATATCATCTAATGAAAGTAGTTCATCAAAATCATGTATAGTACATGATTCGGCAAATGATGCAGACGGTTGTTCGGGCATGTTGAATTGTTGATGTGCAATGCGATGATGTTTACTTTTCTATCGAACGGAACAGCGAGTGCGCACAAAGAAAAAATCAAATATATATATATATATATATTCTCTTTTTTTTTTTTTATGTTACATCTCATCAGGAGGTGAGTGTTTGACTTCGATTGGCATGAGAACGATAGAAAAAAAGAAAAGAGAACAAAAGTCGTTGCCGTTGCTACTTAACTGATGAGAGATTACGAACATCATTCTACAGACTCAATAGCAATCATATTATAATAAAAAAATATAAAAAGAGAGAAGAAAAACGAAGTTTATAATCATTCAAGATATACAATTCTTTATTTTTATTATCAATAGATTTGTTTCATAAAGAAATATTGATAATAACTAGATCTTGTCGTTGTTTTTCGTCTAATATATGACTAATTGTATTTAAACCTATTGATGTTGCCGTTAAATGACGTTTTAACATTGGTATCAATTGGTTAGTTCGTTTTAACTGCATAGCTAATATATGTTCTTTAGATCTATGAAACCATATATGAACACCTGAACTAGTACTCATATTTGCATTATCAATATCAAAATCAAGTACTGATGTTAAACATTCCGTTTGTATAGGTTTGCTATGTTTACCACCACCAATAACTCCATGTGCTTGTCTTTGATCAGCTTTTGATAATTGACTCCAATGTATATGAAGTACACAATTATGATCATTTTTATTAGTATTTATTTTTTCCATAGTGTTATGTACTTGATTTCGAACAACTTCTGCTTGTCTTGCTGGACAAAAAGCACCCATTATACGCCAATGTAAACCAAGTAAAACTGGATCTAATATGGGATTAAATGCAATTGATACTGTTGCTAAATCTGCACACATACATACCATACTTCCACCAAGACTAGCACCAATTAAAATAACACGTTGATAAAGTGTACCATATAATTTTATTAAATTACGATAATATGTTAAACCTTCCCATTGATAATCTGGATCTTGTAAGTAAAAACATTGTGCTGGATCTGTAAAAAATAATGCATCAAATTCATCATTTGTATCACGATGTATTTCTCTCATTGAACCACGCCATTCTGTTGTTCGTACACCTCCAACAACCATTGCAGCACCAGCAAAACTCATATATAATGTTGGTGAACGATGTGTACATAATAAATTAGGTTCAATATGTGCAGCAGAACCTTTTAGATGACATTGACATTTATTATTAGCTGGACAATACGTTTGCCGTCTTTTTTCAAGCCCACTAAAACGTATACGTGTAAAAGCAGAAAATTTCGATAGAAAATATCCATGACCACGGTGACGTTTTATAAGAAGATATATAGTTAGAAAAATTAAAACAACAACAAGAATTATTAAAAATAAAAGCCATTTCCATTGTAACATTATTTTTTACTTTTATTGTGTACGGTAAAATAACTAGACAAGCAGATGTTTTATAAGTGTATCGATGGGAAAAAATGGTTTATTGACTAATGTAAACATACGTTTACAGTCTGTATGATTTTGACGGTCACGCTTGATTATGCAGGTATCAATTTTGACAGAATGCATGTTTCTTTCGAATGTAATGTTTCGAGAAAAGGAAAGAAATATCCACAAAGGTAAATGCGTCATCTCCATATCAGAAAAAACAAGTGAATAATATGCAAAAACATGACAAGCAAATATCAACATTCACTCAAAAAAAAATACACATTTATATATAAAATTTAAGTTAATGACGCATTGCTTGAATATATTATTAATACTTATACTATTTGGACATGATTTAGGATTTTGTGCAATAAAAATAAAATGAGACATAGGATGTATTAAATCAAATTGCGATTAAAATTGTTTGAAACTGGAATTGATTGAACCAAAAAAACTAATCAATAGATTAGAATATATAATTTACATTATTATCTTAAACTAAAGATAATTGTACACACAACAAACATCCAAATTAATCGAGTTTTTGTAGATCCTAGCCTGCCCATAACTGGCCAATGACTATATCTGTGCATTTTTTCATACGCTGATTTCATGATAATATATGAAGAAAATCAAAAGATGATATCCATCGAAATCGTCATAAGATGATGATATAAAATATTTATTAAATCAATACACTCCATATCTATAGACAATAGATAATTACAACACGTTAACCTTCAGCAAAAAAAACAAAAAATCGAATTTTTCATCGAGAATCTTTTTTCAATAAATTTGATCAATTAATTGTATAAAACATATCAATGTTGCACATTTTACAAGTACATAAAATTATTAAACAAGAATTAGTTCAAAGTTTGCTATACATAATAAACTACAAGCACTTCAAAAACAAACACAGGGACTTAATGAAGCAATGAAATAAAAAATAATAGACAAACTACCAATGAAAAAATCTGATGATACATTGTGATTAGTAATTATTACGTCGAATAAATGTTAATGCATGACACATAAAGAGTGATGACACAAGATTTAGGAGAAATCCCTCGCAGTTTTATTGATTAAACTGCGGATTTTTTTGTTTTTTAAAAAAAAAAACCCTTCATGTAATTTTCTACAAAGATATATGAACGGAAATTTTTATAAAATATAACGGTAACAATACTTGTGATGAAAACGGATATATTTTGAAAGTAATTTTTTTTCCGAACACATATTTACACAATTGCAATTTTGCTTTCTCCGACCCACCCATTAGAGACCAAAGTATTGTGATGCTTATTTTCTTCTGTTTTCAAGTATGCTATTTCTCACAACACTCAAAAAAAAGTCGATTGAATAATATCACGAGATTTCAGGAATGGTTTGCTTTGAAAAATGAGCTGAAATAATAGAATATTTTATTTTTACGCATAATGCGTAGTTAAAACAAATCGTACAGCGATTGGATGATTAAATAATACTATAAAATAAAAAATATTTTTCTTCGAACTGACAAAATATTTGACTATAGAAACTATTATGTTTTGATCTAACCGCATGAAAATTATGAATAAGTCTCATAGAAGATACGGAATATGAAAATTCCAGGAAAGAAAAGAAAAATGGAATTGTTTATGTTCACTTAAAAGTTAAAATGAATTAATTATAGGTCAGCTGATAGAATTTCTAAAAGCTACAAAAAGGCATTTTCTGTCTCTCTATATTACGATGTAAAATGCACAGAATCATAAGAAAAATTTTGAAAAAAAAGGCGCTTTCAGAGCGTACTAATTTTCGTGACGTGAAATTTCGTGATTATATCTTGTAATAACGTCGTTCATATATCTTTGTAGAGAATTGAATGAGGGATTTTCCTCAAAAAAAAAAGAAAAACGATGAAATTGAAGGACCAAAACTGCAAGAGATATTTTCGCAATACTGATATCGATAGTCTTTATGCGCCACCTGTTAGATTAAAAATCATTCTACACATCCAGAGACATAGATAGTGAACTATATCGATTGACAACCATATTCTCCGCTCAAAGCATGACGTTTGTGTTTAGAATATCATAAGAATATTACAAACAGGTGGTGTGTTTGACTTGTTTGGATCTCTGATACACAATAATATATATATATATATACATGTAATTATGAATACTTTGTTCATATTTAATGGAAAAATGGAAAACGATGACTGCAATCATTATCACGTGATTGACTATGATGAAGCGGATCGATGTAGGTGAAAAATATCATGCGTTAAATATGATACGGATACACAAAATATTTCAAAACGGTCGAAAAATTCGTATTGATTTATATTTATCGATATTATAATTGATGTTATCACATAGTGTCAATGATGTTTTTTTTTTGAGTAATAGCTTTAATATATAGCATATTGATAGTATAACATTATAGCCCGAAATAATTATAAGAATATTGTTCAAATGTTCTCGTTCTCAATATTAATTATAGTTTTATAATAAAGAAATTCATTTATTCTTACGAATGTTTTAGAACACATTGCACAAAATTTTGATATCTTTTTCTTTCAATTTTTAAGAGTAAAAACTGTCAATTTTATATTTTTAAACAAGTTTCTCTTGTTAATACCAAACTGAAAGCATTCGCATCTACGCAATTATTCAACTTTAATTTCCTATTTATTGCTTAAATTTAAAGATGTGCAGGATAGGGTAGAAGTTTTGCAGGATACGGTAAGGTATGAGTTAGAAAATTTTTCTCAGTCACGGTACAAAATATGAAAAACGCTTACTGTGCACATTTCTACGCACAAGTTTAATGATTTGTCTAATAAACTTTTGTTGATCAAAGAAAATGTTAAAAATACATTATTTAAAGCAAATAAATAACGGTTTTCATGGTCTATACTTTCACAACTTCTTCAAGATCCTTGATGATATTGTTTAAATAGAGAAAAAAAAATTCTTTTCGATACACTTTGGAAAATCATGTTTTCAAATACTAGATATATTGTTTGAATAATTTATTAGTATTCCAACTAATATAGAATTGAATTGGGAATAGAATAGTCTAATTGTTAAAGTAAATGATGAAATAATAAGAACTTTGTTCTCGATATTTTCACATGTTTTACTTGAAAATTATTTCTCTTAAAGCATTTCTTTTAAAATTCTGAAATGTACCCTCTCGGTTTGCAGAATTTTGTAACATAGATACAATTTTGATGAAGCCTTCATTAAAAATTCTTCAGCATTTTTTCTTTTTTGTTGTCGCAATAGGAAGATTTAGTAGACTTACAGGTTTCACAATTAGTATCAACAAGGAAAAACTTGTTTGACAAGCAAGCTCAACATATTTGTAGAACTTAAAATTGTCTATTTTTTAGTGTGTAAAAGATATTTTCGATGCTTCGAAAATGAAAGAAAAACACTTCACAACTTAGTGTAATGTCTACTCACATGCCTATTACTATGATGATTTAAAATGATAAATAAAATTTTATTTTAATCTTTGAATTTTTTTCTTCAATCAATCAGTGTTTTGTTTATTTCGAAATTCGATTATACACATATATTCTTCTATTATTTTTTGATATAGCAAATTAAAAAAATGTACTTATATTCTTTACATTATACAAATATAATTTCTATCAGAACAGTTTCGAAATTTTCTAAAATAAAAATACAGAAATGAATTTTTTTCTTCTATTTTAAATAATAATTACCATTAAAAAAAATTTCAATAAAATTCATTTTCTCTTTCTATTACAAATAAAAGACAAACAAATCAACATTCTTTCTAACTAAAATTTACTTTCGATTGACAGTAAACATGTTAAGAATATTAAAAGTCTTACTTGCTTCTTTACTTATACTATTCAGTTACTTTGTTTGTACAAACAAAAGTCATTAACAACCGTACGTCTTATACGTTTTTTTTACTTCGTTTCTTCATTACTTTTCTTTAAAACTTCAATACACGAAAGCACCGTTTACCAAACACTTTAAAACGTAAAAAATGGTTGCTGAATAAACACATAAGACAATATAGTGTTTAAACGACAACAAAAGCAATAGCAACGACGTGAATATAGATGCACATAAAATAAAAAACAAAAAAACGAAAATTCCTATATGACATCGAATTCATCCTTGAATTATCCGGCTGAATATTATTATCCGGACTTTCTTGAAAGTCGTTTAGATGATCCATTAAAACCTCCATCATCACGTTTACCAAAAACAACATCTATTGATAATGGTATTGGTTTATCAACACAAGTTCCAATAAATATTGAACATAAAAATGAAACAAAAATTAAAAAAACACCAATCAATACAAAACAATCATCAACTAATCTAGCACATAATGTTGCTATTGATCAAGGTTTACCTGATATTGATATAACACAATCACTTAAAATTGATCCAAAAAAAAATCTTCTACGTGATCCAGCTGCAAGAAATATTCCAAGATTAATTGTTGATGATAATGTTATTAAACAAGCTGTTGTTCGAACACCTAAAATAATACCAACAACTAATCTTGATGATAATTTAGAACAAACAACAATAATTAATCAAATAAAACATGCACAACAATCTCTTCCTCATAATTATATTAATGAAAATTTAACAAATCAAATACAACCTTATGAATATATGCAACAATATCCTATAAGTTATGTTGAAAATCAACAAACAATTGATGATCGTTGGAAAAAAGAAGTTTTAATTGATAATGAAGGTGCTGTCACTATTGAAGTAAGAAAAAATTTTTATATTTTAAAATTGATTAAATTTTATTTATTTATTTTTTCATTAGCGTATTAAATATGATAAAAATACTTATGATGGTCCATTTGGTTTAACACGTCAAGGTGCTATTATATTCTATATTGGTATGGCAATATCTACTATACTTGCAGGTGTTTTCTTAATTATGACTGGTATATTTTATGGTCGAAGTAAATAAATTAACTTTCAAAAAAAATCTATTAATGAATCATTTTTTTTTTGTTTTCAAAAGATTATCCTGAAGGATCATCAGATACTGCTAAATTAACTGGTATAGGTATATGTGCATTTGCATTTTATCTTGGTTTACAATTAATTTTAATTGGTTTATGGCATCAAAAATATCGTCAAGAAAATCCAACACAAATTATTAAAAAACCCAATCAACATAATGATCCATCAGCACATTTAAAATCATCTATGGAAAAAAATGAACCATATGATTATTCATATCAACAACAACAAATTGATTATACACCGTATAATTATTATTCTAATCCACCATATATTTCAAATACTAATGAACAAATGTTATTACAACAACCAGGTGCAGCAACAGGTGCTGCATTTTATGAACCAGTTGTTTGGCCATCAAATGTTGAAATTGAAACACAACCAGGTTCAAAATTTCTTCAACCTATGGAATGGACATATGGAACACCATTAGTAAATCCAACACCGGTACATACATCTGTACCAATTACAAATAATAATTGTAAATATAATAAAAAAGGAAAAAGGAAAATATTTCTTTATTATTTATTTTTATTTTTATAGCTGAAAAAAAAAGTAATCATCATTATAATAAGAAAACAGTTGAAGCTAATCCACCAAAAGCTAAATTTGATAATCTTTTTCCGAATTCAACTGTTACAGAAACATCATTACCAACATTAACTAAAGCACCGGATACAAATGATCTTGTATGTATGAAATTAAACTAGATATGAGAGATTATTACATTCATTTTACTATTAATTTCTATGAGAGAAAAACTAGAGAGCAATTAAAAACTCCTTAATAATAATTATAGACTTCTCATTAGAAAAATCAAAGAGATCTGTAGTAGAACTATTATAATCTGAAAGATGCAATATCACTTATTCTATATCTCAATTCATTAGCGAGAAGATACATTACGACAATTGATAATTCAAGAAGGAATACTATTTTGCTAGTTAATTAATAAAATTTCAAAATTATCAATTAATTAGATTAGAAAAAAAATGAATGAATATTTCTTACTATAAAATATTCTTCTTTTTTCTTTTCTAGATAAGAACAATTGTTGATAAAGAAAAAACTTTTAAAAAAAATTTACCAACTGGTACTTCAACAACAAAAAATCCTAATCGAAAAAGACCGCATGATAGTGAAACAGGTAGTTCAGCTATAATCAGTCGTCATCGTCGACACCGTCGTCGTCATTCTCATTCATCATGTTCAACATGTTCAAGTCGTTCATCGAATGATTTCCATAGTGATGTTAATTATAATCCTCGTCATTATCAACAACAATATCCTGAATCAATATCTAATACAATCACACAACAAACTTCAAAAACACATACACGTATTCCAACAAAAACAACTAAAGAAATCTATCGTGATAGTGGTTTAGAAGATATACCAAGTATTGTCAAATTTATTATTTCATTGAGAAAATTAAGTTTCTTTTTTTTTATTAGATGTTCATGATAATCGTCTTGAACGAATTCCTGTTGTTCGTCGTACAGTTATAGTTGAACCATATCCAACTCAATCAAATTCAGATATAGTTATTACATCCCATACTGATAAAACAGGAAAAAATCGTTTAAATAAAAATCAAACTAATGAAATCAATACAAATTCTAAAATAAAAAAGAGAACAATAGAAAGTAGTGATAATACGATGGTTGATATACAAATAGAAGATGTTAATGATGATATTAATGAAAATGAAAATTGGAAAAAGAAAAAACCGAATAAAATATCATCAACAAAAAACAGCTAATAATACATATTATAATTAATTATATATTGAATTCTTATGTATATTAAATTTTTGCTGATGGAGAGATAAGTTAAAATGAAACTAATAAGCTTTTTTTTTTATTTTTCATATTTATTTTATTTCATAAAAAAATACAAAGTTTAAAGCTAATTGAAGAATTTAGTTTTGTCATTTGAATAGGATGCATTCAAATTTTGTATGTTTAATAAATTTAAAAAAAAAATAAAGATAAATTATAGAATTCAAAAGAATGACTTGTTTTTTTAAATTATTTCTTTAGTAACAGACAAGTTACGTTCATTGAGACTTAATTCATTTGATTCTAGACAGACGGGATAAAGATACGTATATAATTGCATCTAAATATAAACATGCATTGACTCCTTGAAGATGAGATTACTTTTAAGAAAACAAAGGAAATTTTAGAAAGCCTAATGGAACATATTTTTTCATCTCGCTATCAAAAAATGTTAAAAAACATTTTAGAGTATGCTAATCTTGAGGGCATAAGTGAGTGTAGGCCTTCTCGTCATCTGCACCTACATCCACACTAGAGTCCGCTGGATCCAAAGTTGTCGGGACTCGGATCCTGTCAAGTCGTATTATGACACTCTCAATGAAATTTTCTAATCGAAATTTGATAGTTGCCCAGAACATACGAGATACTTTTTTTAGTTGTTTGCATTCGATGATTCGTACGCTCTACACATTTCTTAGACGACTAGAGCCCATCGAGTTCAAAATTTTTAGACCCAGGCCCGACGAGCTCTATCTATACCCTCACAATACAGGCGTCAGTGTAACAGATTAATAGTCTCTGTTCTATTGCAGATCATAACAGCATTATAAGAGGTTCGATACGGGACATACATATATATATATACGTCTCTCATCCTCAAGAGATTAAGTATGCTATTGATTTTTCTAAAGAAATGTTGTCAGAAGTTTTTGATTGTTGTACTGTCGTGACTCTATTTGCTAGAGTTCTTTACTATTGGTTTTGAAATTTTATTTTAAAATTCAAATGATGATTGACTATAATAAATGAAAAAAACAGAAATTTTTTATCGTATATTGATGTATATCGAATTAGTATATTTCTATCTATGATATGCGATCATGAATATATATATATCGATTTATTAGCATAACATAGAAATCAATACAATTATTTATAATTAGTTATATTAGCGCTATTTGTATTACAAAAAAAATTATTATCACATTATTTAAATCATTTAATTTTAGTTTATCGTAAAAATTTGTTTAGATTCATTGTCTACGTCTTAATAATTATTATATAATATCCTCATGTATACAGTATTGAGAAACCGATCGAACAATAGTTTAATAACGATGATCATCACTTCTAACGGCATTCTAAGTCGAACAAGCACGTTGGTAAATGATCATGAATAATCGCATATTGGCGTATTATACGACTCAGTATTACGATCGCATTTCTTCGTGTATGATACTGAGAAATACAATCGTTTGTGGAGTTCGTAATTGGCGAAGTGCAGAGTGTATACGGATTTCCGATTCATATTCTTGGGATGCTACTTCTAGGTTAATTTAAATCCTAATGCGTAGGTACCCTTTTTTTGTCATACTTCACAGTCATATGTACCATTGCAGCCTTAGCTACTAGATGATAACTATGTTGTACACAGACACAGGTCAATTACCACTTTTAGATCCTATCTTTTCAGTTTAGGAAAGAGATAAAATAAAACATTAAATTTGTTTGGATTTAAGTTTATTGAAATTGTTAGATTTTAGACGATAGTAAAAATAAGTTTCGAAGATTTGATATGCACATGAAGATTTGTTGAAAACTTCTATTAAAAAATAATGAGATTTAACTGAGTGAGTTAAGTTAATGCATGTTTTTTGTAATAAACGCAATAGAATTTCTAAAAGATTACTCATCCATATATGCCAATTAAAAATTATATCTCAAAAGAGAAAATAATAGTGCGGACACATTGTTCAGTCAGTACAAATCTTTTAAATATTAAATTTTTCTACTATATTCAATTAACATACGATGAAGGAATATATGCAATTGTTGGATGCCATTCAACTTCATATTATGCATCTGACTGGATATCTGTAAGGCTTTAGAAAGCTTACAAGGATTTGTATCAATCACCTACTGACGAAAAAATATGGCTACTTCAATGAAATTTGTGCTTGAAAGTGCAGCATTTTCGAAAAATATAAAACAAAAAGTGTTGAGCTAACATTTTGCCTAAAGGCAGATTTAATAGTCATTAGATAATCTGAAAAGTTTTAACAAAAAAACAAATATGTCTTTCTCGAGATATTTAACGTCCAAAAAAACTTGATTACTGTGGCGACCTATGGCAAATTGCTGATTTTTTTTCGAAATTGAATATCTTGAAGAAGACATGTTCGTTTTCGTTAGGGAAAAGCTTTACTCTCAGTAAAAATTTCATTAAAGAGATCATAATTCTTCAGTAGCAGACCATGAGTCTGATTCCTTTTAAACCTCACAGGGATTTACTCGTAAGCCATAATATAAAGTCGAACGGCATCCAACTTTCGGATATCTTTCCTTGTAAGTTTCTAGAAAACATTAGAGAATATTTTGCAACAAAAAACCGGCATTTTATGATGCTCCTATAATGAAAGACAAAATAAAAAATATAAAACTGATGGAAATACTTAGGACAGTCCAAAAGTAGTGGCGGAGGTTCTTTTTTTTCTTATAAATAGCTTAAAAAAAATTCTTTTTTTACCAATCGATAGAGCGTCTTTCGCTCTATCGTTCTATGTTATTTGATCTATATCCAACTAAGATTATAATAAAAAAGTTTCGACAAAAACGTTTTTTGACGTAGTCTGGCTGGTAGCAATAGTGGAGAAAACCATTTACATGTGATTTTTTCTCGTTTTTCCTTCATTTTTTCTTGTTCTTTCTTTTATCATTGTCTTCTTATCTTTAATAGGAACTGATCATCTGTGTATTTCGTAGTGGACAAGGAGTAACAATGATAGAGTAGGAAAATATAAGGATAAGTTTATCAATCGTTTATTTTATTAAATGTTCGAAATAATCACCTTCGTTATCGATGAACAACTACATTCTCTCAATCCATTTTTCGAACGTTTTTTTATATCCTTCTTTGTTCAAAGAGTACATGAAATCGACCACAGCATCATATAATGATTGTGAATCACTGTAATTGTTCAGATTTTCTTTAATTAAGTCAAACAACCAAAAATCGCCAGCAGTGTCCAAGGACTGAGAAGTAGAAATTCCTAATTTTCAGAGGAATTGTCAGTGCAGCTATGATAATTCCTTGGGGAAATGGGAATTGACCATTATTTCCATCACAGTTTCCTCATTCATGAAAGTCAAAATAATGCTTTTTTTGCAATAATTTTCGTATTCATACGTTAATGTGCACATATTTCTTGATGAAAACGAGTATAAGAGTAATAAGTACCGTGGATATTGTATTTTTTTAATTTAAGCATTCAAGGAAATGTCAGGGAACTGAGTAGGAATTCCTATTCCTCAGTCCTTGGACACCTCTCTCTCTATCATTGTAATTAATTTAAAACACGATGAGATTATCTTTAAAAGAATAGAGATATAACAAAATAGGAAAAAAAATGACCTGTTCATTTAAGTTCGATAGATTCTTGTTTTTATTGGTGGTGGTCGAATGCCAACAGGACGTTGCTCTTTTGACATAAGATAATTTTCCATTTCACGTGTTGTCATACCCGATACTTCTTGATATGAAACAACTTTTTTCGGAGCAGGCTTAACGTATGATGCAACACGATTATTATCATCAACATAATCTTCTACTACAATTTGACGAGTTCGACTAGATTGTGATGAAAAACCAAATGGTGTTTTAGGAATAATATCAATAAGAATAGGACGACGAGGTGTTGTAGTAGTATTTTGTATACGTGATGGTGGTAATTGAAATGAATGAGATTCAGATCGAGGTGAAGATTGTATTAATTTAGATCGTGATAATGGTTTTTGTTTTGTTTGAATAAATTTTCCTGGTGATGATGGTTTATAATAAACAGATGTATCTTTCATTGGTTTAATAGGTCGTTCATCAGGATCTAAAATTTTTGATGAATGATTTTGAGTAGGTATTGTATAAAAGTTAGATTGTGATGAATTTCGTTTAAGTGAAATATGTGCATTTGATGTTGATGAATGACTTCGTGATGAAGTTTGTTGTAATGTTGGATCAGTAGAACCTGGTGTATGACGACGAATTGCTAATGGAGGTAATTCATTTAAATTCGTTTTATGATGATGATCATTATTAAATTTTGATATATTTCGTGATGTTTGATCTCTAGTTGAATTAAATTCATTACGATTTTGTCCATTATCATAATAATATTCATGAGGATATGGTGGAGTATAAACTTTCTCTGGCCATCCTTCATCATCTACATAGAAAGGATAATCGACTGACGAGAAAAAGAATTTAAAGAAAATATTTATAAATTTTTCTCATTATCTCACTTGGATAGGTAACAGCCATGGTATTGATTTCAATGTATTACAACAATGTAAATGCAAGACATTTGTTGCTTTTTCTCGTTCTTCGTTAAAAAAAAATGAAGAATTTTATTGACTCTTTTAATGCATTGAAAAACTGAAAGCGTCATGCTGATTTTCTTTTTCCATTCAAACAAGCAAAAGAAAAAGAAACTGTTTTCTTTTTTTTAAATAATATTCTGTTGCATCTACTTGGCAACATTCATTTTGAAAAAGAAACGAAGAAATATAAACATGTCCGACAATTTATATGATTTGAAAAAAAAAAAAGAAAAGAAATTTTTTTTATAAATGACATGATATACTTCAATAGCAAGAAAAATCGTTTTCTATTTAGAATAGAATCTAATATGTCAATTGAAAACGTATTAACATCTGTTCTTTTTCTCTTAAAATAATATATGTCTTATTCGAAGTTATGAATAGCACTTTATTTCACATTCATTTTTTTCCCATTAAATAAATGGATTATGAGTTTTAGGAGATGAATACAAAGATGAAAAATATAAGTACATACTATGCATATTTTTTTTCTTCATCCGATATTTATTGCCAAATCAACTCACGAATAAATAGTTCTTTTTGAGTTTGGAGATCATTGTTCAAGTTAAAAAGGTTTTCTTATCTGTATAGAATATTAATTAATAGACTTTTGGATTATATTAAAAACACAGTATTTCTATCAAACATTCAAATCAATACGATGATGATGATTTACTCGATATTTCTATTCGTTTTTATTTTAATCTATCATTTAAATATAAATTTTGCTCAGAATCCGATTGCAGAAACACAGGTTGATGTAAGATCGAAATTAGAAAGGCAAAATACAACAAATATTCTTTGGCGTGATGATTCAATAACAACTTTTTCATCATATTCTCGAGCAAATTTATATTATGTCACAAGCACTAGAACATATCGGCCATTGGCACCTGCAACAACTACAGATGCTTTCCATTTAATTGATTCTGATTGTTTCTGTTCATATGATCAAACAATAAATTTATTATCATGTTCACCATACTTAAAAGATTCATTTTCATATCCACTTCCTTATATAAATACGCCTACTATTAATGTAACATTAACTAGTTGTAAATTTTTCTCTAAGCATTTAAATCTTCCATTAATTAATGGAAGAAATATTGATTATTTACGATTAGATGATGTTAATCATAAAGATTATCTTGTTATTGATAGAACATCATTTTCATCATATAGAATAAATCATATATATATATTATGTGGTTATACTCAACCAATAACAATATTATTAATATCAAATGAAACATTTTTATCACCATTTATAAATTTATCATTACGTACACTTTATATTGATTCATGTTATCTTGTAACATTAAATAATACATTGAATAGATTATCATATCTTGAATCAATTACATTAAATAATATTGAAAAATTTTCTTGGCATGATTTTCAACAAGAAATAATATATTTACCAAATTTACGTTATATTTATATTGGTGAAGAAATTTCTTCAACAAAAAATAATATTTTTAATGTATTATCTTGTCAAGATATATTACCTCAATGGATATTAACTTATCATTTAATACAAACATGTAGTTGTAAATTAATTTCATTTTTAACAACAATTCAACATTATAATAATATATCTAAATGTCCAAATTCTGATAATCGCATTGAATATATTAAGGATATTTGTCTATTTAATGGAAAAAAATATCAAATACAAAATAGACCAAATTTATTTTGTAATAAATGCTTATCTTATCGATGTTCTAATCAAACATTATGTACAGAAGCATACGATTCAGAACCGAATTGTTTATTATTATCAGGACATTATTATGATACTATTCGTACTCGTATACCAATAACATCCTATACAAAACAATTTCTTCTTCAAGAAAGCCAAGAAGATCAAAATATAAATTTAAATACAACTCTAGATTCCAATGGATTTTCTTCAGTTGCAACAGTGTTAATTAATTCAAATCGAAATTCTACAGAATGTTCTTCAAATGATTCAAAAATATTTCATGAAACATTTGCTGAAATGCTTGATCGACCATGGGCACCAGAAGTTTATACATTACAACAACCAATAACAATATCATCAATACAACCACCATCATCAACACAACAAACAATTTGGCAAGAATTATTAATTTCTCTAGATAGATCAGTTCAACATATCAATGACAGTGAACCAAAATTTGAATTTCAAAGTAAACCAATATCAACAATGAGTCTACATTTTTCAACAGCACAGCAACCACAAGAAATATTTGGTTGGCAAATAACGAATGATAATATAATAACAGCAAATATTACAAATATTCAATCAATTGATAAAAATGTTACATCACGTGTTTTTCTTAAATTTAATACTAATAAACCATATAAATTCAATTGCAATATATCGTAAATTATTAAAATAAATCTGATTAATAGAAAAATTTTTGAATTATTCTTTTCATGTTTAGAAATTCATTCAATAATTGTACAAATCGTTATTCAATAACATCAATTAAATCTCAAAAATTATTTTATAAAACAGATCGAATTCCTGAATATGATGTTATTTCAATAACAGCACCTAATCAAAATCAAAATGTTACATTTTATTTTGATCAAAAAATTTCATCAATTGATACATTTGAATATTCAATAAATATAACAAATTCAACAACAATAGATACATTTTATGATCAACTTGATTTTATGATTTTAGAAGGTAGTTGCATGTATTTAAATACAACTAGTATGATATGGCAAACTGATGGATGTTTTACACATCGTCAATTATCAAATAGTACATCAGTAATATGTACATGTCAACATTTAACAATGTTTACAGTATTTTTTTCATTAACATGTGCAAATCCATCAAAAACAGTTGAAATTTTTAGTTGGATTGGATGTGGTCTTTCAATTATTGGCCTTTCTATAACACTTCTTATGTTTATTGCTATGAGTATAAGTCGAGGAACAGAAAATTCTAGTCATGGACTATCATCATCAAATACTAGTTCAAGTCAAGAAATACGACGAAGAATTGTGGTATAGAAAATTTTTCTTATTTTTCGAAAATCTATTATTTAACATAAAAAAAGAATATCGAAATTAATATATTGATAATCTTTAGTCGTTAAAATAGATCCTAAACAAAGTAGACTCTATCAGAAGTTGAAATTAGAGAAGAATAACGACAAAAAGATAGTAACAGTTGATTGAAAAGTAATTTAACAAAATGTTTGTTCATTTTTCAGTCTGTGCAAAATTTTGAAAACATTGAATTTGAATCAAAATTTTGTACTGTTTTCCAATATAGATTCATCATTCAATAATTTCAAATTTCTACAGGTTCCTTTCAGAAGAAGCTAAGAAATGAACGAACATTTTCTCCAATTACTTTCCGATTATGCATTATTTCAATATATTTATACATAATACATATGTTGTTCTTCAAAATACACTTATACAAAAAGAAATCAATATATTCTAAGATAATTTCTATCGAAACGTTTTCATCACATTTACTGAATATATTCAACATCTAAACACATCATCTTTTTGTCTCTATTTGATTTAAATATAGATGTTAAGTACCATAGGTATTAATTGAATGAACAATTTAACAGAAATTTTCTTATTAGTATCTTGACTATCGGTTTTCCAATTGAAACTTGAAGAATATCATTTGTTTTTGTTTTTCTTTTTCTTTTTTTGTTTTCTATAGAATAAACCACGTCATTTGTCTATAGTAAAATCAATGTTATTTATTTTATGTATTTTATTAATTCTAATGAATATTCTTATATTTATTCTTACATTTGTTAAATCCAATCAAAATCTTAGTTGTAAAATATTATCAGCATTACTTTATTATTTTACATTATCAGCTTTTATATGGAAACTTTTATTTGCTTTACAACAAAGTTTATTTCTAACAAATACGTTTCAACCACAATGGTCTAATCGAACATTATTTACCATTTATTTAATATTAACTTTTACAATACCTATTTGTCCATTATTAGTTATGTTTGTTAAATATAAAAATTCAACATTTATATCATCACAATGTAATTATTGTTGGTTAACACGTGAATTTCTCTTATATGGATTAATTATACCAATATTAATAATTATTTGTTTAAATATAATCCTTTATTTATATACAATGATTTATTTATGTATGACAAATCGTCAACATAAAGGTTTACGTTCAACAAAATCAGAACATTCACGACGTATACAAAATTTTAAAATTGGACTTTTTTTTGCTATTATTATGGGTTTTAGTTGGATATTTGGTTTTCTTGTTCTTATACCAAATACATATGTACAATTATTTGGAAATATTTTATTTTGTGTTATTAATTCATTTCAAGGTTTTGCTTTTTCTATAATGGTTTTTTTTATGATTAAACGAAAATCATTTCTTCGTTGTTGTTGTTTTTGGAAAAATCAAAATCAAATAAAAACAACCATGATTTCACAAAGTATTATACTTCAAGAATCATTACCAACATCAAATGATAATGGTAATATTAAAATAAAATCAATACATAATTCATCAATTCATACATCATCAACAATATCCGGTGGTGATACTAATACTCATGATATATTTGATCATTATCGTCATCACAAATTACCAACAGAAAAAGAAACAAATGAAGACGAACATATTGATAGTTTACCAACACTTTGAAAAGGAGATTTTGTTTTTTTGTTTCTTAAATAAAAACTGATATCGAATTATTAAATTAATCAATTAAAATCATCATAAGTACAAAGTATAAAAAAACTAATGTTGAAAACTATCTTAATCATTTTTTTGTTTCTTTATTGAAAATTATTATCTACACGACTTCTTTTATTTATTCATGTCTCTTGACAAAGAACATGAAGAAGTGAATAAACAGAAACCTTTCATAGAACTTTACCATACAAAAAGGACTTGTTGTACTTGAAGATAAACAAAGAATTTATATTATAAGGAATGAAGCAAAAGCTCAGCATTTATTTTGTTTTGACATAGTGCTGTTATACAATATCGTGTAGACTTTTTTTGTTTTATTCAAAAGAGCAACGTGTCTGGTACAAAAAAATATAATAGGCTTTTAATGACAAACATTTTTCAAAGGCTAGAAAAAATCTGACAACAAAAGGTATCAGAAAATTCTTTCACAATCTTTTGTTTTGAATTAAGAAAGAAAACGTTATTCAATAAGTTTAGTTGTCTGGTTGATATGAATATTTTTCTAACCATCTTCTAGTATCATAGGTTTTTCATAGCTGACGATTGCAGTTGAAAAACTAGATTTTACTCTCACGATGAAATCATTTTCAGATGACAAAAAATTTATTATAATTTTCCTATAGCACGCCACTTTGCCAGTCAAATATCAAAGCTTAGAATTTTGCCATGAAGTCTGATCCATATGAATGTCTTCATCAGACAAGCTTGTCTACTAAATTTCAGAATTTTTGCATGAATTATTTTTCAGATATGAACTTTCCAAAATATCCATATGTAACACAATATTATACATTCTCTACTTGTGGCTAACATGTGAGGTCAAAAGTTTTTTGTAACTCGAAAAGATTCCCTCGTAAGAGAAAAATTTTTTTCACATTCTAAAAATAAAATTCAATTTGTAATTAAAGTATCTAATGTTTAACCTCTAGTATGCTATACCAATTATTTCAATCTCATATGAAAACCATCATTATTATAATTGAGACCAAAATTACAGAGAATTCTGCGAATATCTTTAGTTCTAAAGTTTTTATGACATTCGGTAAACATTTCCAGTCGAATTCCTTTTTTTAATGTAGAAGTTTTGCATCATCCATTGATCATTCTCGAAAACAATTTATCGATGTTCAAAGAAAAGAAAATTTTACAGTAACAATAGTTAAAGATTAACTTATTGTTAAATACACAACTAAATTGTATGATAATGATATGAGAAAAGTTTTTTTTATTGAGACATTAAAAAAAACACAAACCAACCAATAGACAAGTTTTTTTCAAGGAAATTTAAGAAGAATATCAAAAAAAAAGAAGCAGAATAAGTAGTAAATTAAGAAACTATATACCATCAATTAACGAGATTTTTTATTATGGTGTCAAAAAGATTTATTTCTTCAATTATTTCGTGCCATTAATCGATCTAGATAAAAAAAAAGAAAGAAAGATTAAATATTTTTTTTATTTATCCAATAAAATCTATATTTAGTAACATAAACAAAAGACTAATGTCTAGAGGTCGTCGAGTTCAACATTTCCGAATCCACTCGAATCGTATTTGATACTCTCAATGAAATATTACAATCGAAACTGAATAATCTCACCGGAAATACGAGATACACTTTTCCGGTTTTTTTTTGTTTTGTATTCAGTGACTAACTCCTTGTACATATTTCTTAGGCGACTAGAGTCCGTTGGATTGGTAATTTAGTGATGAGAATAGTACTAAAACCGAACATATTAAGATCTTTGTATCTATGATGTGCAATAACTTTTATCTATCTATGAAAACAAAATAAAATAAATTACCATTTGATTGTGATACTACATCAACCAATCGAGACACAACAGGTAAAACAGGTTTCACAGGTAAATCAATCGGTACAGTTCCTTCGTTGTTTAATGCATGAGATACAACTAAAATATATATGTATATATAAAGAAATCTATATTTTTATTTAAAACATACTTTCAGCTAACTCATGATAAGCAAAATGAAGATAAAGTAAAAAGAACATATGAATCGCACTAACAAAAAGTCCAAGAAGTAGACGATAACGTGGATTAATTGTTCGTGTCATAATAACAAACATCTATTATACAAAAATAAAAAGATTCAATTTAAATATTTTGTGAATTTTCAATCTTTATAAATATACCATTCTAACTGCAGCTGCACCACCAACAATACACCAAAGACCATAAAATAACAAATGATCATGACCCGTATGAATAAATGTAGCAAGAAAAAGAACAATACAGTGACTGAATAATGCATAACCCTAAAAAAAATATTAATAATATTTATTTATTTAATTACTAAATTATTCTTTCTTTTTTTTTGTTTTACGAACATTTATATGAAGAATTTGCATTAAACTAAGATGTGTATTACAAACAAATGAAACAGATGAAATTGCAAAACTCGAACCAATCCAATAACCAAAACAAACAAGAAAACTTGCTCCAATTAATGTACCATCTTGCTACAAAATAAAAATTCAAACATAGATCTAAATGTGATGAGCAATAAATTTAGATATAAAATTCAGATCAAGATTTAGACTTCAGTGATAACTAATAAAATAGTTTTTGTTATATATGAATAATACAAATCAGAAGTCTCAATGGATTGGATTGAGTCAATAACCCGAGGGTCGACTTTTTTAGGCTCAGCCCAAGGACGTAGCAAGGAATTTTCCAAGGAGAATGCATACCAGCAGGAAAATAATCTTCTGTTGCGCGAAAAAGTATTTTATCTGTACCTTTCCAGATATTTTTTGGCTAACGAAGTGCACAGGCATCTCTCTAGCCTAGCTCAGCCCATTTGTTGGGAAAAGTTGCAATTAGAAGAGTGGTCTATGGATAAAGCCCATCGACATCAAACGTTCCAGACTCAGACCCGACGAGCTCTATCCATGGACGAGCTATTTTTTAAGAAAAACTCATGGTCCGCTTTCTTCAACCCAACCCAACTCATTAAGACCTCTGATACAGATCTGTGCTTAATTTCGAAAACGAACCTGTATCTTTGAATAAAGTCTGACTACCTCTCTGTCCTTTACTAATACTACATATATATTCCGTCTAAAACAATTATTAATTGTACACATGACAAAAGTATTTTATTCAGAGAACTTTTCAATAAAATACAATTTCGAATATAACTTACAACAGAATGACTTGCTAATTTCATCTGATAAATTAAAATTGCTGCTAAAGTAAAAACAATCATTGATGGTCCGTATAGTTCTGGTTTAAAATTCTAAAATACACATATTTAAATAATATTTTACAAAAAAAACCCAACTCTTCATACTTCATCAGGTAATGGCCATCGAGGAATTAAAGCATGAAATAATCTAAAGAAAGATATTGATTATTAAAATAAAACAAAAAACAAAATTTAAATCTTTAATTACCGATGTAAAATTTCTTTGGGTTCAACATCAAAATATGGACGAAGATAATCGATATTAGCATAAAGATTTATTGCTTGCTGAGCACGTGTACGTCCAGCAGTCCAAACCTAAAATTTAATTTGATTTATGACTAACAATAATAAATAAGATTAATACTTACAATAGATCCTACACTTGGTATTCCACTTTCAAGAGATGTTGTTTGTTGATTATTGTTATTATTAGGCATTGGTCTTCTTTGAAGATTTTCGTGCATTGCAAATTCTTTTATGTTTTGATCAAACAAGGCAATATAATATTGAATAAGATATTCTAAGACATCAATCAAAGTTTATTTTAAAGTGACATCTATTTTTATTTATAAAAGTAAAAATTTGTTTGTTTAATGAAATTATTTTTAAATGAAAAACTTTTTTTTCTTTTGATTTTTTTTGTTATTTATTTAATTTAATAATAACGTATTAAGATATGATTGAAAGAATATTTTTACCAATGAAAAAAATATCTGCCAATCAATGAATGAACTTTCTTGTTTCTCGTTCTTAAAAAAAAAAAAATAAAAATTCCACTTAATCTAAATAAAGTCATATAATAATGAATTATTAAAATATGTCAACAACTGGAAAAAAACGACGTTATCAAACAGCTAGTTCACCAAATGAATCCGATGATGATAATAATAATGGTATAGATATTCAAATATTTGTTTATTTTGTTTAATTAATTCTTTATGGTTTAGAACCACAATCAAGTTCAACAAGTCAATTATCAAATAAACGACGTGGTTCTGTTGCAGCTGATTTTGCATCACATCGTCTTATTGTTAGTGAAAGACAACAAATGGCTGTACTTAAACAATTAACAGCAGGCGAAGAATCGAATCGTATGTTTGTTTGTTTTTTTAAAGGATGTTTTAATATTTTTTATTTTTTTAATAAATAATAAAAATATATAGCTGGATCACAATCTCCTTCATCAATAACTCCACAACCACGTCCATCAAAAATCAATCGACGTAATGAACATGGTGAAACTATTGTTCATATTGCTGCAAGAAAAGGAGATTTAAAACAATTAAAAAAAGTTCTCAAAGCTGGAGCTCATGTTAATGAAGCCGATAATGCTGGTAATATACTATAATATACAATAGATTTTTCTTTAATATAAATGTTTTTTTTTTTGCCATTATAGGTTGGACACCATTACATGAAGGTAAGATTAAAAGAAAAATTCTACTTTAAATCGATGAATTTTATTGTTTCGGAGTATTTTCTTTTTCTTTGAATAACAAGATAGAGATGTGCGGTTATTGGCATCGAAAAGTAAAGCCTTTTGAGCTATGTGAGAATATTCAAATTATGTCGATAGATATAAATAATTTCATATTCCTGACAATGCTATATGACGTTAGAAATATTTATCTACTAAGATTAAATTTTTATTCGTGTTATAGTTGATGAATATTTTTATCAATAAAATATTCAATTAGATAATTACTTAATGATTACATCTTTACTTTTTTTTTTCATCGTT